CGCATTTCGCAAAATGTTTGAAAGTTGTCTTTACGAGGACATAAAATATGAATTTGTGGTGTTACTGAACCCTTGCAACACTGATCCCCCATAAAAGTAAAGTCCCCTCCTCATAATTCCACATTTATGACAAGCCATTAATATGCCGTCCGGCTTTTAACCGAATCGCTTTCGGCCTTAGGAGGATAGTGACATGTGCCTGTGCCACGGCTGTTTATTAATCTCTACGCAGGTGGTCGTCATTCTCTGACACACGGGCTTCGTATTCCTGAGTAGCAGATGCGAGTTAGTTGATTACACAGGCAAAACACATTTGCTACTCACAACCTGTTTGCCAAAGCCTCTTAAAGCCTTTTGTAAGACGAACATTAGTAGTGCCGCTTATATGCCGAAATAATTGTGCTGTTTGTCCCAAGTAAACCAAAGTTCTTTATACAAAAGGAGGAAGTCTTTCTCATATCGAATTCCCCGTATGCCAAGATACGTTTGGATGGTAGCCTTTCCCAACACCTAGTCACATTTATACAAATCGATCACAAATGCTTATCTGAAGGCTTGTTCAACTTTACTATTTTTAATATTAGCTGCTACAAGGTGGGGATTTCTGTGTTTCTTCTGTCATAGCCCAATGCTTTCCTCTTGAGGCACTGGCTTCGGCATCACACGTGTCACGGATGCCGATACAGAGGAACTTGTCTTGATTTGCCAGCTTGTAACTACCTGTTGCTGCAAAATTGACTTTGACATCTTTAAACAACTTCTTCTTTGCATAATTTTCACGGATTTTTGAGACAAATGCAAATTTTAGTAGTCCTGATTATAAGTTTGTTAAAATGTTGCTAATTACTGGTTGTACGGAATTAGCAACTCCGATTGCGAAAGGATGCAACAGAATATAGCAAATTACAAAAAGTGGAGATGTTTTAATTCCCACACATCAGAGTTACACTGCATTTGCCTTTCGAAGAGGGAAGAAGGAAAGGGAGGAGGGTGAGCTGGAACATTTTGGCATCATTGAACAGCCAATGTTTGCAGAAAATATGTAGCAAGAATGCAGTGTTGCTTGATAACTCCTATTCCACTAATAAAACCCAGCAAAATTGTCAGTAGTGCATCATTTTGAGACATTGCAACCAAATTGCTACAAATAATTTGCATCATAAAATGAGGGGAATGTGGATCTCCACATGTCCAGTGTGAGGTTCAGCTCATGTTGCCATCTTTATCATTTGCTTCTTGACGAACGAAGCGGCATGCTCAACCCCATGTAAGGATAACTTCACGTTAGCATGATTGCTCCAGACATGAATTACTTATCAGATTGTGACAGGAAGAGATATGTCACATGCTAGTGACGCTAGAATAAGGGAGGGGAATCGAAAGTGCAGCATACGTGGCCCTGGAGGTGAACGACCTGAGGTGACACAGCTAAGGCCTATAGACAAGCACTATCAGGGTACAGTCACGACTGAAGAACATAAAACGTGTATTTTGCCACACAATTTGGTATTTCAAATGTAACAGCTAACTTTACTAGGTGAACTCAGCTGATTTGATGGCACAAATAGGAGGCTGGTTGGTTGACACCTTACGCAAGAAGTATTGCATTGCTTCTTCCATTTGGGGAAGTGTCCTTAACTGAAGGAGACAACTCATTATTCGGAAGTTGGTCTCACTGCACAATTTTAGTAAGTGG